GGGCATGCTGCTGAATGGGGGACACAGGGGACCTCATGACAAACAACATGGAGAAGGCTGAGGTACTCAATGCTGCCTTTGCCTGAGTTCTCACCAGTTACACTTGCCTTCGGAACTCCCAGGTCCTTGAGACCTTTGGGAAAGTCTGGAGCAAGGAAACCTTCCCCTGAGTTGAAAAGCATTAACTTAGGAAACATTTAAATAGATCAGACACGCACCAGTCCATGGGATCTTGATGTGATGGAAACAAGTGCTGACAGCTGGCCAATGTCATGAGGAGGCCACTCTGAATTATCTTTGAAAGGTTATCATTGAGTAGTGATCAGAAAAGGTTCCCGAGGACTGGAAGAAAGCGAATGTCATTCCTATCTTCAAGAAGGAGGATGAAAAGAACAGGCTGGTGAACCTGACCTCAAAGAAGGTAATGAAGGAAGGTAACAGAGGGCAACAGAGCAAATAATCCTGGAAACGATTTCAAAATACATTATGGACAGGAATGTGATTCAGAGTACACATGCATGGATTTACGATGGAGAAATCATAGAAGGTGGAACGTGTTCCTGCCCATGGCAGGGGAGCTGGAACCTTATGATCTTTAGTGTCCCTTCCAACCAAATCATTCAATGATTCTATGAAATCACGCCTGATGAAATTTACAGCCTTCTACTATGAGATGACTGGCTTGATGGATGAGGGGAGAGCAGTGGATGTTGTTTACCTCAAACTTTAGGAAGGCTTTCAACACTGTAACATACTCAGTGACAAAATGATGAAGTACCAACTAGGTAAATACACGGTGAGGTGGACTGGAAACGAGCTAAGCTGTTTGTCTTCAAGGGTTGGGATCAGCAGCACAAAGTCCAGCTGGAGGCAGTCATCTGTGGTACATCCCCAGGGTAAATACTGGGGCCAATACATCTTCACTAATAACCTGGATGATGGGACAGAGTGCACCCTCAACAGCTTTGCAGATGGTACAAAACTAGGAGGAATGGTTGATACACCAGGTGGTTGTGCTACCACTCAGAGAGACCTCAAAAGACTAGAAGAGTGACCCAACAGTAATCTCATAAACTTCAAAGGGAAATCCAAGTCCAGCATCTAGAGTACAGGCCAGAGGCTGACCAGCTGGGAAGCAGCTTTGCCAAAAAAACCAAACCCACAATCTGAAACAATGAATTCAGTATGAACCAGCAATGCATCCTTGATGCAAAGAAAGTCAACAGCACCTTGGACTGCTTAGGAAAAGCATTGCCAGCAGGTCAAGGGAGGTGATCCATGCCCTTTGCTCAACCCTGGTGAGACTACATCTGGAGTGCTGGGTCCACTTCTGGGTTCCCCACTACAAGGCAGCCACGGACTTACTGCAGTGAGTCCAGCAAATGGTCACAAAGATACACAAGAGACTGGAACACCGTTGAAGAAAAGGCTGAGATTGCTGGGAACATTTAGCCTGGAGAACAGAAGGCTCAGAGGGATCTTATCAATGTACATAGATGACTGATGAGGGAATAAAGATGAGACAGCCATATTCTTCTCAGTGGTGCTCAGTGACAGTACAAGAGGCAATAAGCACAAACTGAAATATAAGAAAATCCACTTAAACATTAAAAAATAGCTTTTCTACTGTAAGGGTGGTTGGACTGGACTAGGTTGCTCAGGGAGGCTGTATAGTCTCCACCCTTGGAGCTATTCAAAACCTAAATGGACACAATCCTGTGAAGCTAACAATTGACACCACTTTAATCAGAGGGGTTGGTGTAGACAATGTCCAGAGGTGCCTTCCATCCTCAGCTATTCTACAATTCTATATATGGAAATGTCATTGCCACATTTATCTGTGAAAAATGAAAAGCAGGCCAGATTGTAACAAGAAAACAATATTTTAGTGGAGCTGGCACTGATGTTGCTACCATCTGAATTTATTGCTGGTTGCCCAGGAAGAAAATGCTTTCCAGTGTCTCATACTGTCTCAATGCATCAGCTTGATCAAGAATTTCCTGTGCGGCAAAATGTCATGCATGATGGCAAAGCAGCGGCTTTCTCTGATCATCATCCAGCAACACATCAGCAGCACAGATAATGGATCTGGATAATAGCTTCTGTGAAAGCAGGTCTGGGAGGACTAGTAAAGTGATGGATTGCTGTACAAACAGGTTTACAACATCTAATAAGTCTGGTTTATGTTAGGGTTATCACAGTCAATGGACACGCAACCTGCTTCATTTTTGTTAAGTACTATGAAAGACTACTGTTGGAAGGCTTGTCTTTCAATGGGTTAGAAATTTACCCTATGGCAACTATGCCTCAGACTCCCTTTAGAGTCCTTTTGGGTGGGGTCTGTTACAAAAACAAATAAACAAGTAAAAAGCCCACAAGAACCCACTCTGCAAAATTATTAATCATTGAGGGCTTTTTCCTGAAAGATTAATTGCAATTTCCAAGAAGACTATATCAAAAGAGCTATTTTGAAATATTCCATAGGCCAGAGAGGTACAAAACTAGAAAACAGTCTGGTAACAGTCACAGAAGTATAGTATATAGGTGTTTCCTCCTTGCCCACTGTTATAGAGTACTAACAGAGTGTTGTCCTTCATTACTCAGTATTGCAGAGCCTCAATTTCAGGGTAGGAAGGCTCTGCATATCATAGCCTGATACAGGAGTATATGGAGGCACTATACCTACATGGCTAGAGAACTCTCTTTGAATTTTCAAGATTAATATGTGTTCCTTTCACTTTGAGTAAAGGGACTCTCCCCTCTGTGATGATAGTTTGCCCATAGAATTGCCACACTTTTCTAAAGCGGTGAGAAAACGACGGCCTCTTGAAGTGGAAGAAGAAATTTTCTGGCACGTTCACCCCCTTCCACACATACACCCTATTGAGTCAAACACCACCACCTTTGGCAGTTTTTTCTCAGAGCTTATTAGCGAGACCTAGATTTGTTACTTAAATGATGTTCTGTATAAGTATGTTTAAGATTACAGGAGAACACTACCTTTAGAGGCACCACCTTTGCTCTGCCAATTATCTTTTCCATCTCTGGTTTCACGTAGTGGGAGTTATGTCCCATGTAGCTGTTACATAAAAGCATTCTCAGTGAGCTTCTAACATGCCTATCCAAGAGTCTACACTGCAATCCAGCTAATCCTTCCGAAAGAAACAATCTATTTATTTCGCTGGTTCTCTACATTTTCTCTGAGGAGAGCTCACTGATATCATAAATAGATCAGACCCTCACTTAGACATAGTAGGAATCAGAAGTGACAGTAAATGAAAAACATAGCTGGGTCACAAGACAGGCATGTGTTAAAGCTCTGTAACTTTCGGTCTCACTTTTATAGGGCAGGAATCCAGTATCATAAATTTCAAACCATATTAGGCCAATCTACAGCAAAGAAAGAATATTTGTTTCCTTATGCATATTCTTTTCTGTGGTTGTGTATCTTTATCTGTTCTACACTAAATTACTTTTTTTAAGGTGCAAAAACTATACTTGCTACTTATGAATGAAATAGATTGACATTACAGGATTCCATCTGCAACCATGAGTGATAAGAAGGACATGAAGCAAGCTACAGCTAATTCCCATCTTTAATGTATGTGGATATTCACTCCAAAATGACTGGTGTGTGTTAGTAAAAAGCAGAACAAAGCATAACCAACAAATCCCCACCCCTGCCCCCCAACTAAAAGCCCCTCCACTATACTGGATTGCCTTCGATCTCAAATTCAACAATTCAACATCAAACTTATTTTGTCTCTTCTAAATTTTTTAGACTTCTGAAAAACATATTTACTAGAAATTATTTGTACGAAATGCTTCTTTGGAAATTGCCAACATGTTTAATAACAATTCATTAACAAAAGGCTATACAATTGAACGTCTACACACTGGGATTCTTGTTTAGCAAAATAAAATAAAACCCCAAACATTGCTTGGAAATGGACATAAAATGATAGACTTCTATATGGTAAAAAACCTAGCAGATTGACTCTTGCAAATATCTAATTAGCAAATTCTCAATCTGCCATATTGCCTTTCTCTGTCCACACACAATTCCTTTTATGTCAGAAATGTGTAAACACCATTTTGTTGACCAAAGAGAACAATGAAAAGTGTTTGGCCTAAAATAGCTCATTCAGAGAAATTAAATTGGTTCCCAAGTTGTTGCTTTTGTTGGGTTTTTTTGCATATAGAAGAAAAAAAAAAAGGTGTGTATCTCAAATGCTTAGAACATTATTATCCAAGCTGTACATATATATATATATACACAAACACAAATTTTTAGTATTCAAGCAAGACAGTTACATTCACACGTAATTCACAAAATGATCGCTTTCATACCTGCTTTGTGAAACGGATAATAGTCCACTGTTAAATAGCTGAAGGAAAGCTGCATGGCCCCTCCTGTAACACGTCTATTTGAATCTGTAAAATAAAACAATGCTCAGCTCTGCAGACATTGTATTTAGCCTGTTAGTTCTCATGTTGCTGCATTCCTTTAAACACCCAACAGCTACTTCTTTCTCCCCTTTACTGGCTCTCCTTACAACATCATTATCTTCCCTCAAAATTTTCATTCAGGTAGTCTTCACTGGTTTCTAAAGATCAGCTTGTAGAACTCCGTGTTCTGTACTCAGTCACTACTAACAAATTGCATACTGTTTTAAATGCTATTAAAAAGTAAAGGCAACTCTTTGAACACATATTACTGCAGTTCTTCTGAAACAAAACTTTTCACACTGAATATACAATTATGATCAGTCATTCAAAGTCAACATTTCCTTTCAAGAACACTGTAAATATAATTTTTATTTTATTTGACAAATATTATCTCAGTGAAGAGGTCTTCTGAGATCCCTCTGTTCTGATTTTTCCACTGCTAAATTTAAACTTCATGGCCAAAAATAAAGGACCGATAAAGAGATCTCACTATGGATGATAAATCCCAACTGCAGTAGGTACACTGCATGTAAGGAAATACGTCTTTAGCCAGTGGACTTTATGCTCTGCTGCTCTGCAAGTGTCCTCCCTAATTAAGGAAACATATTTGCTAAAACCTAAGTTTTTCATACTCTTTTCTTCAGCAGACCTTGTATGTCTCTAATTTTTTCAGTGACTAGTCAGCTCCTTTGATATACACTGATACATGATTCTCTTCTGATCACTTCTAAAAGGCATGAAAGAAGTGTCTTCTTTTTTCTCATTCTAAATATGGCTATATGCAATAGCCTTTCATTTAAAACAAACAAACAAACATTACACACAAAATTATATGGCCACAGAACACTTGTTCCATTCTTTCTATGTGTTGCAGAGCATCAAATTCTCTAAATTAGTAACACACAGACTAATAAAAGAGCAGTCCTCTTTATTTTAGAAGAGTATTACAGAAGCAGATTTTACAATGACACTTTCAAGCCACAGTAATGCTGCCACTACACTCTTCATGACATAAGTTATAATATAAAAGAAAAAAACAGCAGTAACAATCAGACTGGACAGAGTCAGGTTTCTAGAAGACAGGAAAAGCACTGAAGCTACTCGCACTCTTAGCGGTTTTTATTGCATTTATTCTAAAATAATTAATAACGAAATGTTGTCCTTACAGAGGCATCTAGCTCATTTTAAATGTGTCTACAGACACTGAAGACAATTCTGAATATTCCTCTAAAATAAAGACAGACTCTTGATTAACATTATTGTATTCCTCAAAATGTCTTCTAAAGACGATTACGGTTCACAGGCATGTTACTTTAAAAAAAAAATTACCTTTTTCTTTAGAATGGATATCATCACATATATGTAGGTCCAAATGGGAAATTACTAAGTGATGAGAAGTCTCCTTAACATCAAAATCATTAAACAACTTTACTATTGCGTCGTTTTGATCAGGTGCTGCTGTTGTCTGGTGCGCTTTCACCTGCTGAGAGCTGGGTGCAGGGGCAGAGCTCTGAAAAAACATTGAGTCATCTCGATTTATAAAGTTTATCCTTCCTTTCAAGCATAAGTATCCTTTCAGTTACTCAAAACAGGCCTTTGAAATAAGGAGAAATCTGCACCACATGGATTCACCTTGGATCGTTAATGAGATTTAAGTGTGTTGTTTTACAATAAAGCCAAGTTGAGCTAATGGCCAGGTGTCACAAAGAGGAAATGCCAGTGCATCCCCCATTCTCTCCTTCCACCACACTTCTTTACACCCCTATCACTTGTGGCACTTGTATTTTTCTAACTTTTGTTGCAAGCTGCTCAGGAAACTAAACCAGCAGAAAACTATCAATTTTTTGTTGGGCTCATTTCTGCTAGTTTAATTCCCCAAACTACATCACAATAGAGTCAAAGGTGAGCTGGTGCCAGTATCAGGGAAATGGTTAGATTCAAGTACAGGGAATTGTAGAATAAGGACCTCCCCACTCAGTAACAGCTAACCATTAGATTGCTGTAGCTAAACCATCAAATCACATCGTAAGTCATCAGGACCACCACAAGAAATGAACTCTCCATTACAGTATGCTAGCTTTATTGTAAGAGATTCTATACAAATGAAGTTATACAATCAGTCTTAGTAATATATTATGTTTTATTTTTATAGGACTATCTTTTATCCGTGTATTTGTGCTGCTTCCTCACAGACAAGAAGAGGTCCCTCCCCCCAACACTCACAAAGCCCAGTTGGTCTGGTCCGCTATATGTGCTGAAAGATGACCAAGATTTACGTAAGACTATCTTACATGCAGCATCCATATCACATCTAAGCCAGCAGAAATACGTTAAAAGTACAATTATTTTTCACTATATATTCCAATAGGAGAGCTGCATGAAGGAAAGCTCTTACCGAAAGCTAATTTTTCAGTACCATGAAAAAAAAACTGAACAAGCACTTTAAATCATTACAGTAAGCATATCTATCCATACATTAAGGTTACCTTAGTGTGTCTTGGTAATTATTTTTTTTAATTCATAACCAGAAAATATTTGGCGAGCAAATTTACTAAACAGTTAATCAACTGTTAAGTAAATAAAGAGGTCTAAATACTCTGTACATGGATAAATAAATACAACCTTTTTCTTTCCTGCAATTAACATCAATACGCAAAATCTTCTAAAGTTAACTTCTATTTTATACTACTGTGATTCATTCCCAATGTAATTTAAGATACACAGCTGAATGAAAATGAGTAACTGAACATTCTCTAAAATAAATTAACACAACTAACCACACTGTATTGTATTTTAGAACAGCCAATAATGATACAGCGAGACAATCAATTATCATACCTGTGCTGTCTCAGAAGCCAAGCTTTTTCTCTGTTCTGTTGATTTCTCTATGGCTTCACTAAGAGATTTGGCATACTGCACCATGGCTTTCAACTGGGAATCAGTCAAAACCCACAGCAAATCATCCAGAATCAGAATCAGTTTTGATGCCACTACATTACAATCCTTTAACTGTAGAATAAAAATTTAAACAAGTCAAACGGGTCCATTAAATACTTACATTTCTTATATCAAATACAAGGAGAAAAAAAAGAAAGTTGACTGCAAAACTACATTTCCCAAAAAGCAAATTTCTTCCATATAAATAACAAACATTTTTTATTTTAAATTGTATTCCTCTCATTAACTAAGAATTATCTAAGATATAGTCTATCTAGGCGGCACTTTTTATTTGTTTGGCATGCATTGGATATTAAACTGATGCATTTCTCTAAATGTAATGTAAATATTGCCTGAATCTAGAGAGGTGAGACAACATGCATCATCATAAACAAAGCTCTGCAGATCAAATGATTTCATTAGTAGGACCCGTGCAAGGTCTTCATCTTCAAATTCTGTCTGCAATATTTCTTGTCAACTCTACATTCTTACTGATTATACGTTATTAAAAATTTAGTTCTGGGAATTCTACGTTTCATATGGCCTAAATTTAAAACCTTTACTATATGCATGTATGCATTAAGAACATGAGTTAAAAATGAATTCACAAAATAATGAAAGATTTCAAACTTTTCAAGTTTACCCTTCTTTTAAGTGTAACTCTAATTTTTGACTGGTTGGTAATCAGTCGAACTGGAGCACTCATGATTTCATGCTTAGCGCTCTGGATTGCGTCTGCTTCTATTCTGATCATCTGCCAGTTGATTTCTTTAAAAGTCAAAACCTTTAAAGAGAGAGAAAAGGAGAAAAACACCTTCATGCAACATGACAGTTTATTTGCACCTAAGCATGTGCATGTGTATGTATATATCTGTACATATACACACACACATATATATACATACACACTCACACATATCCTTCATGCAGACTCATAGGAACTAAACAAATACAAGTCACTTATTATTCCACTTACAGCTGTCAGGAAGTAAAGCCCTGACCCTTCCCTCTCTACCTTCAGAATGTCACAGAAATGTTAAGCTAGTTCCAAGTATGCAGAGGTAACAAGCAGTATTTAAAATATTCAGAAGAAAATAAAGGTCACAGTTATTGTGTACCAGGTTGCTTTTCGTAGAGGAAAAGAAGATTGTGTAGTTAAGTTTCAAAATGCTAAATCCTAGTACACAGAAAGAGAGCGGGGATGGAAGCAAAGCTACAGGATGGGAGCGGTTTTTGGAATGTTTTATTTCAACTAAAAGAGAAAATTAAACACAGAGTACATTGTATGCCATACAGACCCCACAAGCTTTGAATCCATTACATGGATTTCTAGAAGACACAGTAAGCAAATCTTAGAATAATGATACAAGAGCAGCAAGTACAGCTGTATACTGAAAATCAAATACGGGAAAACGAGTAATGGTCCAGCAGCAAAATCATGGAGAACATCAAATAAACAGGATATCAAGAGGGAAAAAAAGTTAATTCTTGTTTCCCTAAAACTCCTTCCTGCAAGACTGTGAAGAAAAAAAGATCAGCCATGGGGAAAGTGGAAGAGGGAAGAGTTTATTCAGTATGTGTCTTATTTTTCAGCTGTCATTCTCCTCTTGTCAATTGTACAGCCTATGTACTGTGAATATAAGCAGAGACTTAAGTAAAACATACACGTTGTATTTAGGAAGGAGGCACACACAATGAAGTGAGAAAGGTGGAAAACCACAGTGCGAAGTAGCCTGAAAAATACTATTTGCAGAAAAGCAGAGTACCTACCCTCCTCATCCAGGAGGTGCAGCATGAATGTAAGCTTCTAAAGAAAATTCTAAGGAGATTCCTTATTATGTTAAGACTGTAGCTACAGTGCAAAGCTAAAAGCTTACTCCTTTAAAATGTAATTTAGCACAAGTTACCTTTATAGTATAGTGTCGGCTTTGTTTTTTCACCTGTAATGCAATTTACTGCTAACAAATCATTCACTACAGTTTCTAGAAATTTGTGTTTCCAGAGTTCATTGCACTAAAAGCAACACCCCTCAAAGAAAGCTCTGTTGTGTCTGAGGTGACTATTCAAAATCAAATTCTTCCTAAAAAGCACAAAATAAAAAAAATTTAGCAATACAAAATTCCATCTAGCGAAACTTTAATTCTTCCTCATTAGACTTCATTAACACATTAGTATTAGCATACAGATAAGCTGCAGGATAAACAAACTGTCAGAAAAATAGTTTTCAACCATCTATTTTTGTGGCTTTTTTAGCTAACATTCTCCTGAAAAAAAAACCCTACATAAAAAGCAACTACCAGACTCCTTAACTCTGAGTGAACTCTGTTTGTTCCAGAACAATCATCTCTAAATGGGCAGACATGAGCAACATGTGAAACACCTATTTATGCAAGGCCAGACGCATGCTAAAATAAGTCTTTCTCAATACAACATACAATATTTAGAATCAACGTTGCACTCGGTATACATTTTACTTTGGTAACATGGGAGAAAACAAAAGAATGGTGTACATCAATCTAAGACTTCCATGTTACCAATCTAAGACTTCCATGTTAAGTTCTCCTAGACAGTAGAAAACTATGCACTTTACTGCTATTACTTTTTTGTATACATATGATTTAGTTATTCCAAGCAAAATATTTAATTCTTGCATAGGTACTTCATTAACATTCAGTTAAAATTGCTTAAAGAAAAAAAATATTTACTTGGCAAACCCTCACAAGCAAATAAATAACGAGTTAAAGCTTTAAAAGTAATAAAAACAATAACAAAAACTCAGCACAATGCCTTATCCTTGCACATTTAATAAATCATTCTTTTTTCTTTCAGTACTCTTCAAGTCTGGTAAAATTTGCATTTTAAAATGGTCACAAGCTTGGGGAACAGTACACAGGCTTGCCTTGGTCTTCGTTCTTCCCTAAGCATCCACTTTGGCCACCACTAGAGACACGACATTTGATCTGACTCACATCACCATTTTTACATCCTTGTGTTCTCAGAGGACAGCCGAAATCACTGAGCATAGAATGCCTCCATTCCCAGTAACAGCATGTTTCCTAGACTGTACAAGGTTGCAATTCAACTTCCTCTCCTTTTACCAATAACACAGGGAAAAAAAAGTTAGCAAAAGATTTACCTCTCCACGTTGAGCTTCTTGTATTCTGGTAAATCTGAGGTCAGCATGTTCCCAGTTTGCATTTACACTATATATTCTCAGCTGGGAAAGTTCAAATGAAGCATTAAAGGCTTTTGCACCAATCCTTATTACAATGGAGTTCACAGAAACCGAAATGCCTTCTACCACTTTTTCAGCAAAGCCATATTCACTAAAAAGTGAAATGCCAACATATTAAATACACATCTAATGAAAGGGCACAAAATTAAACTTAAACAGCTGAAATATAACATGAAACAAACCATCAAATAAGTTCCTAATGTATTCTCCAGCTATGAATATTTTTTTAAATATACTTGATCTAGTTTACAATAATTTCTACCCTATGATCCTAATCTCAAGACAGTCATTAAAGAACATATTTTGGACCAAGATCAATCACCATGAAGTATAACAATCAATGTAATTTTTCCATGATAAATATTTTAGACATATATACGTATAAAAAATAAAATATATATTATACATACATAAGAATAATAGTTACAGCAGTATGTAGAAATCTTACTCTTCTTTACAGATACATAAGGAGTAATTCATGTCAAATGAATTATTTGACAATTCCAATCTGGTTAGTATTTATCTCTATAAGCTAAGTTATTCTGCCCATTAAACCAATATCCTTCGTATATGCAAAATAGTATAAAGTATCTGCTTTATTTCATTCTATAAAAGAAAGACATCCTAAATGATGGTTACATTTCTACATGAAATCAACATGCATTCCAGTATTAAAAAAGATAAAGCAGTTGCAATTATTTTTTTTTAATAAAAATCTTCTACGTTCTGAATGTTTTAGATTAGTGAATAGAAAATTGTATTTTAAATGTTCTTTTAACATCTAAAATTTTCTGCCTTTGGAGTTTTTTTTCCTGCTTGTTTTAAAAGCACAGTTTATGTGGTTTGTCATTCCTTTTCCTTTTTATAACTTTCATCCTACACAGAATCTCTATGGCAATGATTTTCAAGCTGTACCCTAGGAGACGTAGAGGCCCATGGACTACTTTTACATATTACGCAGAAGTTAAAATAAGAAAAGCAATTGTATTATCGAATTTGTTTCTCCGTATATGGGTCCCTGTGCCTACTGAAAAATGTTTTGGGTCCATAAAAAGGAAATGATTGGGGGGCGGGGTGGAAATCACTGGTGTAATGCTATATCGTCCCACCAAACTACTTTGACTTTTGGGCTATATAGCGCTCAAGAAATCTTTCAGTAAGATTTGGCTGATACAATAAAGGACACAGAACTTTAAAATACCACACCAACAAACAGCCCTTAATACTGTTTTTTAGATCAAAGGAAAAATAAAAAAAATTTTAAAACCCATCCCAACATTATATATATTTTCCAAATAGGCTGAAGGCAAGATATCTCTAATTTTCATAAAACTTCATATCAATTAAACTTGATAAATTTTCGATGCAGTAGTTCCACTCATATGAAACATGCCTCTGAAGCTCCATTCATAGTTCAGACGTTCTCTCCAGGCTTGGGTCTGGATAGTTCCATTACCACTATACATATGTAACTCCACCCACAAGTAATAAAATAAAACTTTGGAGAGATGGAAATGGCAAGCTGCAACCCTATATACTTCTGGAAATTTGCAGGGGATCTAACTGTTTTATAGTAATTCAAAACAAGTAATTTAAGCTTTTTTGAATCACTTACATGTAAGAATCGTCACTGACCTCTGTCCGGATGCAGTTGCTATAGGAGAGGGTCCATTAGGGGCACGTGGCTCTTCACATGTGCTCATTTCCATTACAACTTTATCCAAGGACTTGAAAAACAAAACAAAACAAAAAATTGGAGACCTAAGAGGTAACAAAGTAAATAGTTGACATATGAAGATCAAAAAAACCAGCCAAACAGAAAAAAACCCAACACATTTGAAAACATAAAACATTTCTTACCATCTCATTTTTATCATAAACTTTTGTACCTACCAGAATTATCTTTTCTTTAATTTGTTCATATAAATTTTTATGTTTTGTGAATTCTAACAGACCTTCCCAGTCAAACAGGGGATTACAGAGATCTCGATCCCTGAGTACTATTTATCCATCACACACATTTTCAAAAATTGCATTTCAAAATGGGCATGATTTAATGCGTACTCATCTGAGGTTTCTTCCTCTATGGTTGTTCATTCAATGGAATACTTAATACCTCCTGAGCTTTCTAAATGGTTCAATGAGTTCAGAAAATTTTAATGGAAAATATTTGAAATTAGTCCACTAAAATTCATGATAGAGGATGAAGTTTTGTGCTGCACCTTTAAAACAAAACATGAATATAGATAATATATACACGAGTGTGTATACACACACAGCGCATATATGAATCTTCAGTAGATCTAGTAAAACAAGTGATTTTTAAAAAGATATATTATAGTATAATTTGCAGATTTGTGACCTAAATTTATCATGGCTGTTAACAGTAAATTTGGACATTTTAAAAATCATTTTCTCAGCTGTCTCAATGAATAAATTGCCTTGCAAAACAACAACAGATGAAAAAAACAACAAGAAAAAAACCAATCCCTTAGTTTTAGGATGGTGGGGGCTGGGGTAAGCCAAGACTTCTCTTGGTTATCCTAACATTTTTTGACGTTTAACCACTCTTTTAAGGTTTTTTCAATTAAAACTTTTGGAACAATTTCCTTTACTACGTGACTAGTGCAAAGAACAGTAGGGCAGTGATTTAAGGAATTTGCATAATATAAATAGGAGTTAACAAAGAACACCTGGATGTAGATATCTGTCTATTCTCTTCTCACTGGCAACTACTGTACTTTGATAGAAGAAAAACTGCTGCATAGCATCCTTGGGTCCCCAAAGCACTCCTCAAAATTATATTGTTTATCAGATGGAAACAGAAATTGGTTATGATCAAAGATACCTTAGTATTTGCCACTATGTAGACAGATGGATTTTCACAAAGGGCAACTCACCTCGATGAAAGTACCTTTGGCTAGACACATGGGTTCTAGTTACCTCCTAAGCTACGCAAACAGAGGATGCTATTCCAATCTAATGGAACTCTCATTAGCAAAAATATCCCCACCAAAATAGTGGAAGTTCAGTGGTGTAATAAAGGGCTGAAATTGTACATTTAGACCATTGAAATCACATTCCTTTAGAAGTCAAAAAGGTCGCTGTACAGTCTACCATGGAAGGGTGAACTTTTGTTATCAATTTAATGCACTTGTTCACGAAAAGCTTTATGTAAAAAAAAGTGACCTTGAAAGTTATCTTAGCCTCAAGGATTGCTAATGTAAGTTCAATGGGAGCAAAGCAAACAATCAGGCCTTGCTACCGTAGGTCAAAGTATGTACTCTTTAAGAATAGCACGGCTTAAACTGATTTCCTAATTTGGCAGTTCAACCTTACAGTCAAGAGGTTGCATCATCCCACCTCAGCATTACCATGCTTTAAGCTCTGTGTGCCAGGAAGAAGCAGTACAGACATTAGTACACTACAACTGGGTCACCAACAAAGGCATCAAGTATTGAAAACAACATGTCCTTCCCAAGTCTGACTCAAAACTAAGGAACTACAAGCACATTCAGGAGTTCACTGCAAGACTGGGAAGCACGACAGTTAAAGGAATATTCATTCCTAAGTAAACACAATTAAGAAAGTTTAGTGGTCATGAAGCAAATCACTTCCGGTGCTATCACATTTCTTAGTATACTTAAAGAACAACATTAAAGAAATGCAAGAATTAGCATTACTTGTAATTGTTGTTGAGTCCTATTTACACATTTCACACTCTATTCATATCCAGGCTGAATCCTAGGCTGTTACAGAAACTCTGTAAATGTTATGTGTATCAAACCTGCTATAACTGAGATCATTGGGCAGAGTACAGATGTAGAATAGAAAAGTCCTTAGAAAAGATAGCTCCAAAAGACAGGCAGGAACTTGAAAAGGGTTAGCTGGACAAAAAACTACCCTTCAGGTGACCCCAAATTAAGACGTAATGACTGAAGAACTTGACAAAAATCAGTTAACAGTCAAACATTATAATGATGATGCCCAAAGCCACAGATTAAGAAAACAAACCTACCAACAAAAACATTACGGCATTTTGTCTTGATCTGCCACTACCCAGAGAACACTTAGTAAAGGCTCACTAATGTTTCAGTTATTTCTACTGAAATAGACCTAGTCAGGTCAAGACAATTATATTAATAGTAGAGATAAATTCTGCTACACAGAGTATATTTAGGAGTTGATCTCAGAACTCACCAAAGAGATGGGATGTGTTTTCAATTTTGTCCATGGTATCTGCAAGGGAAGACATTATTTTAAAGGAAAGTAAATATTAAAAATACAGTAGAATTAAGCATTTTTTAAAATGTGTTTTATGTATACAGATTATATTTGTAACTTCTGAAGTCAGATTAATATTACTTTCAAAATATCAAGTTTATCTGAAAATACTGTATAGTAAATTTATGCAGACATATAAATTTATTTTAGGTGTTAAAAACAGAACTTCAAAATCTACTTAACACTGAGCAGAAAACAGAGGAACAAAACAGAATCTGTCTCTTTAATACCGAGTTGTCAAGCATCAGATAAAGCAACACTGTCTTCCACATTCTTTCCTTTAAAAGGAAAGAAAATCCACATTTGCTCTGTTGGTCTACAAGTAATTGGATGCCTGCAACAAAGCATCAAGTTCACTGCATTCAGGAAAATCAGCACAATCTCCCATTGGGGGGAAAAAAAAAAAAAAGAAAAAGAAAAAACCGAAAGACTGAAGAGGTACCAAAATTTGACCAGATCATAACTTCTATCAAAAACAAGCCATAGCTTCATTTCTTACTCTCATATTAGTATAACCTAGGAGAGATGATACACATTGCTTCAATTCTTAGCAGCCACAACGACCAAAAAAAACAACGCCTACTAGATTTAGAGTGTTTCCACATTTCCTACAGAGACCAGAATCCCTTGGAATGATATTTTTGGAAATAGGAAAGGAACAAGAGGGAAAGCAATAGAAAGAGAGGTGCAAAGAGAAGAAATATACATTAAAAAAAGAGAATAATAAATAATTATAGTAGACTAATTACCATGGCTAGCTTTTATCTCTACCCCTATTTCAGAACATGCAGGAATAAATTATTCTCAGACAGAAAAAAAAATTAAAAAAAAAAAAAAAATCACTGCTTATTTTCATTGTTGCCATATGTACTTCATGTTGTCACATGAGAAACAAAAATTACTAAGAAATTACTGCTGGTAACATCTTTCTTTTTCTCTAAAATTTTCTCAAGCACTCCTCACAATTTTCTGTTAATACAAAGTTGCTTGAAAGTTTACAGAGACAGAAGGAAAAAAAGAAAGATTTGACTAATTACTATTCCAGCACAATAAAATACTCACCCTAATGGATGCTTTATTGCAAAAGACCTTGTTTATAGCAAGCCATGTTGGAAGATCCAGCATGTTCTGAAGTACCTCTTGATCCAGCTCTAAATTGGTCAGCTGGCCTTCCCCCTTTAAAGTGCTCAGGTTGATCTTGTCAGGTGACAGATTTTTGGTGAATCTAAAACACAAACATGCACCTTAAGTAAATGCATATAAAGCAATCAGAGCTGTCCCACATATGGCTGACAATTTAACTTAAAGCAACGGTCTGGGGGTGAGGAAATCACCTTAGGTACAATTTCACCCTGAAAAGAAATGGTACCATGGAATTGCTTTGTGTGTCTGAATCTTTGCATCTCATTAACTCCATTTAGAAATACATAAACAAAATTATATATATTATGAGGTAGCTTCTAATTTGTCCATCACCCAGAATAGCAAATCCTTGATTCAAAGTATTTACCTATTTATTTAAAACTAAATAAGGTACAAGTAAACCTATTCCACTCTCCTTTAGTTTTTCAAAAGGAGAAAAAAAAAAAATCCAAAACCTCTACAACTTATACTGTCATTCTTAGAGCAAGCAACAGCAGCTTAGAATTCACTCAGGAGGAGTAACAAAAAGCTCCTCCTTATAAATAGTACCTTTCTATATATATTTACAGTTAAAATCTTGAAATGAAGTTTTATTCACAATATTCATTAGGTTTAATCATAGAATTTAACAACATAAATTAGAAATATATATACACAGATATTTACAGATACATAGCAGCATGTTGCATATAAAATATTGGATGAAAACTTGAAAGATCAATCTGATTTGGAAGGGCTAAAAAATGTAACTATTTAAAAGAGTACATATGCAATAAATTTCATTATACTTCCAAGGCGCTATTATTTGCCGATACAATAGAACAATCTATGTGACCGCGTCAAATGGTTCACATCCTTGTGAGACAACATGAGAAAAATCATGGGTACTCTACCCTCACTCAAATCAACAGCTGTAGCGTTATTATCTACCAGAAGCCAAAGAATAGGCTATATTTAACCACACTTGCATTCTGCCATGGAAAATTGTTTCTGCTCATGAATTTGGTCTAATTTTACAAGATTAGGTAGTAGAAAATACTACTGCTTGCATTATGCTTCGTGACTTTTCCCACCAAAATCTCCCCACGCTGATATTCTGCAGGCAGAGAGCAAAAGGGTTTGTCTATCCATGAGGATCGAACATCCCCCCAAAGCAACACCCCAGGAGGTGCAACTCCAACATTTCCTCCCATTCAAGAGACCAACTTCTAACCAAATTACGAGGTCCGTATTAAGTCAGATAGTCAGGGAGAGATGGTGGAAGAAGGGGAAGAACGCTGGCAAGCTTTTCCTCTTTAATAGTTTCCAAGTGTGGCTTGGAACATGGCAGGCATTTTCTCAGCCCAACTGCTTTACTGCGTTCTTCGGATGGTAAGCTTTGGAAATGCATTTACCTAGCCTGACAAAATGCAAACATCCATTTTATCAGTCCTATGAAACACTCAGCCAGACATCATAAATTTACAGAGTTTCTTCACCTGTCAGTTTAACCACGAAGAGCAACTCTCAAAGATCAAGACATCTTGGGGTGCACAGAGGAAGAAGCTTGTTCAGAATAAAAAGTTCAGTTAAATTTTTATTTTTTCTTTACTATACCAAGTCTGAAATTATTCAGGGTGTATTTGCAAATAATACTAGGCACGTTTCTTATGATAGAAGCGTTGTGGTTGTTTCTGTATTGCTTACAAGGCATAAATTATCCAGAAGGAATGAACTTTGATTTGTGAATAATGTATTTTAATAATTTCAGTACTAAAAATATATTAAGATAAGGCTATTGACAAATATATTTTCCTTGACAACTAATGTAGTTCTAAATGCTCCATTTAGAAACATTATGAGGGGAATAAAGGACTTCAAATTATTTAATTTTCTGGTTACCCTTCTTTGTTCCTTTTAACAAGAGTAACAAGAAGAGGTGAATAACCTGCCTCAGTAAAACATCCCATCAGTAACTGCAAAATATAAAGCCTGTCTCAGAAATCACACTGACAAGTCTCATCTGACTCAGCTAATTCAAATTCCTAGAAGAAAAAAAAGGTTGCCATTGAATGTTTTCAGTCACATCACACTATCTCTCACTCTTGACTTTCTAGATGACGATCAACATAAGAATCACAAATTGGTGTTATTTTAAAGTCATATTTTATACAGTGAATGCCAAAACATCCTGCCATTACACACAGAGAGTCTCCCGAGACTCAGACTCTGTGGAATAAGTACCCCTCGGGGTTCCCTGTTGCTATGCCACACCAGAAATGTCACTCAACTTGGAGACAGATCTAACCACCATCTTGGTCTCAACTGCAAACACATCACAGTGAAACCCAGAGGATCTACAGGAACTGATTTCCAAACTTCAGAGCGAGAAAGACACCAAAATATCATTAAGAAGAAAGGAGACAGCAAAGTCCATCTCGAGTTACTTCTGACATCCTTCAAACAGATAGAATAGGAGCCAGTCCCTCTCAACAAGGAGCAGAAGGGCAGGGAAAGCAATCTGAACAAGGAGCATAATTTTCCCCACCATTTCTACTTTTTAGGTTTTTTTAATTCTTCTGAGAGTGTTTCCTTGAATTTGTTATCTCTCCTGCAGTCAGCAAAAGGAAAAAATGCCCCAAGTGCTGCTTCATTCAGCACAGTCCAACATAAGGGGATCTCCACCTCTAAGACTACACTCTAAATTTCAAGAGCCACAGAAAGAAACTCTTTAACAGGTGAGTTGTGAGAAGGTATTTCAGGTGTAGGCACTTCTAGCAGCAGATCTCTTGATTCCACTTCAATGGCTGGAATGTGACAGATGAGTGGATGCTGAGGAGACTGAGGTGTTTCCTCAAAACCCATAGTAACTTCATCACATACAACCACCACATCTGCTTTGTCTCTCTGCTTTGTCCAGAGCCAATTTTCCACTGAGGATGCCAACATGGATATTTTCAGCACTTTAGAACCATTTGATACTACTTGATATAACAGGAAAACCTTTTTGTTTTATAAAGTGGCCTCTAAATCAAAAAATAAAAAATTGGAAGTTTGGCCTATTTGGGCAGCTAGCCCTGCAAAACATAATGTGATTATACTCATTAGTTAGAATTTACAAGAATTCAGATCTTGATGCATAAATTTCAAACAAGAGCCAAACGACAAAAAGAACAGCATTTTGAATTTAAAAAATTTTTAAAAGCCTTAGGGCAACCACAACTCTCCAAATGGTATTATTCTAGGATCCTGCAGTACATCAAACCGGGACAAGTCCCACTGAGCCAGACTGCTTTGACTTTTTCTGGGGTGCTTCACATTCAGTCAACAGAGACTCACAGCACAGATGCACCAGAGACAAACTGATGTGTGCCTAGTGCAAGTTCCAGTGAACTTGCCATGAATTGGTATAAACATCACTGACAAAATTGTTACCCTGATAAAATCTGCAATTTAATATTTCAGTACTATTAACTTTTTATTATTAAGTGTTAATATTATTCTAAATATTCTGGTGTTGGAGACATTTTCTAAGATTTATTGCCAGGCAAAATCTAAGGAGCAGGCAGCACGGCTTTGGAGGTTGGCAAGTTATCTCTATATCTAAAGAATTACTGTGTCTCTTAGTACTGTAACCTAGAATGCTTAATTGCTTGAACTTTGAGAACTTACTAGGCTATCATATTTATGATACAACTTTTATGAAAAGCGGAGAGGTACTTGCCATAAAGTTAGGGTAGAATCATGTAATTCACAATATGTAGTAATTGGAGATCTTCAATCGTGTCATGACGTCTCATGATTAGAAATCTTTGGGGAAAACCATTTAAAAATTCTCTATGAGCTTTCCATATAACTACTCAGAACTAACAGTGTCACCAACTTCACAATATGCACATATTCTTCTCTCTGACTTGGTATAAGCAAACAGCTCCCTCCCAACTTGCTCTTTGTTTTTCACCCTGGTGTTCCCTCCTCAGGGGGAGTTAATTACTCCTTAAAAACTGGGTCAAACTGGGAGCAGAGGCCATTTCCCTGCACAAGATCCCATCTGATGTTCCTTTTCTAGGGAACAGACTGAGTGTTAATAGCAACTACTCACTACAACAAGTGAATAAAGCACAACAGAGAAAAGTAAAAGGGAAGGGCAAGGGGAACAGAAACAAAGGACAGGGCCGAGTTCACCAAAGCTTTCTGTTACACTGTTTTGCTGTGGCAGTAAGACATCACTGTTATTGAGATATTACATACTTGGTTTGCTAATATCACAAGATATTCTTATCAAAAACTGTTTTCACAGATTTAGTTTCAATTTCACAAGCTACTCTTCCTTTCTCAAAACATATGATTTGAGGTTTGAATTACTATATCTGATAGCATGAATTTCAATTCAGTTTCAATATTCAATTCTATAAGGTAGATTAATGCTATAAAATATTTTACACTTTAAATGCAAGAATCCAGAAATATGAAGTTCTCAATATCACAAGCAGCCTGACATAGCTCCCTTGGGTACATGTGTTTGTGTATATACATATATACACACACACATGCACGATCATATTACTATGCAGTTAAACAGATGGTTCAACTTTAATTCACAGAGTACAGACTAAGATTTTAGTGAAAAACACAAAAGATTGCACAATAACAGTACAGTAGCAAGAATCATATGTAGAGTAATAAGTTACAAGCATTGTACTTTGTCAGGACCACAATAGTACTTTCAGTTCCTTTCTCTCTAAGAGAACTAAAAATCTACATGGAAGATGCATTTTTTTTCCTTGCCTGAAATATTTATTTTCTAAGGTTTTGTTTGTGACAACGTAGGCCTGGAGCTCTGAATGGAGCACTCCACCATGCCTGCAGAGAAGATGGCCAAGAAGTGAAACTAGGAACAAAAAACAACCAAAAAATGGGCAGGGGAAAGAGAAGGCAGGGGAAAAGACTTCTCTGAAAGGACAAGCTTATGGTTTGTATAATGAAGACCACAGATCACATGAAGCTTAGAGCAGCACTCCACAAAGGTTGGGAGAGAATACCAGATGCAATATCAAGTTCGTCAACAGAAACTTCAACCTCTGGATTTAATAGTGAAATAAC